AATGGTGGGTTATAGCTTCTTAGGGGATGGTCTGCTAATGTATCTGGTCAAGCCTAGTCAGAGAGGAAGCAAAAAAGCACATGGTGATAAAGCACCTGCTAGTCGAACAAGCACATCCTAGCTTTTCTTAGCATAACACAATGGAATCCAAACAGTGTACAAACCCTTGCTTTATTGTCATTTTTTTTCTTTGCTCTGTTTGAGTTTGCCAAGTTTTTTTCAGCTTCTTGGTATATATGGCTTTGTGAGTTTTCTTCCCTAGTAAGTCATTCCTAACATTCAGAAATTCTCATTTGCAACTATATTTTCTCAAAAATTCACCTAGGAAATTAGGGGAAAAATTTATTAAACTGATAAGAACAGACACTACACTTGATCTTAGCCAAAGGGCCAAGAAGCGATGGGAGGGGGGAGGAATTTGTAACAGAGTTTTATCAACATAGACTTTTATTACTGGTTTCCAATATGACTTTGCTAATATCTATATACATTTGTTTAAAATAGGGGATTTTGTAAGTTGATATGTATTAATGCTGGCACACAGTATATGTTAAAATAAAACCTTGCCAAAGAAAATGACAAGGGTCTAAGTGTTCCCAAGAAAACAGCAGGTACGGTCAAATTTATAAGCTGACACGTCATGTCTCACTATTTCCAGGAGTCTGAGAGATGCCAATAGTTGATTACACATGCCAAACTTGCTACCATTCTCAGGCATCTGTGGTTGGTGAGGGTAGCTGAGCAAACTGGACAGAATCAAAGGGGAAGTTAGAAGAGAGGCATGGGACCTTATTTTTCTGTTCTTTAAGCAGATATAAATAAAATCCGTGAGAGAACCCAAATACCCTACTTCATAATTTTGTGCCATTCATTTCATTTCCTTATCATATCATCTTTTATTTGTGTAGCATAAGCACACAATCAAGAGAAAAATCATTTGTGGGAGTACTAGTTTATTGCACAAATCAGTCATAAATGTTTATTTTATTTAAATGCCTCTGTGTGCAGTTCCCTTTTTGTGTGGTATCTGGGATTTTAATTCAGATATAACTAACATGTAGTGAGTTTATATTTTGTGTTACATGGTGCTATGCACCTGCATATATATTTTCTCACTGTAATTACTTCATTAACTCAAGAAGCAGGCATTTTTCTATAACCTTCACTGAGTCTAGAACTAGTCTATGAGGTTGATCTACATCTGGTAGACAGATGGATGAATAAAGGCTGGACTATCTAGACATGATTAGAATACAAGGTCAAAGCTTCAAGATAACAGAGACAAGAGAGAGGAGAGGAGGGAAGGGGAGGGGAGGGGAGGGGAGGGGAGGAGAGAGAGAGGAGAGGAGAGGAGAGGAGAGGAGAGGAGAGAGAGAGAGAGAGAGAGAGAAGGAAATGGTATATTAAATAAAGGCAAGGCCTAGACCTAACATATGAGTGTAAAAGGGAAAACAGTCATGTAGTCATGTGGCTGTCTTCATGGAGGATACCAAAGAATTTGTTTTCCTTATTAGCCAACATGCCCACACCTTTTCTGACATACCTTTTCAACATACCTTCTCAAGCGACAAGAGGGGCATAATGGTCACTATAAGCTCCCTGAAAAGAGGACATTTTCCTGTTTGTTGTGGACTTCTTAGCATTTGTACACTAATGACCAGAAGATAGGAAGGGAGGAGGAGATAGCATTTCCAGAAAGAGAACAGGCTTACATAGAGAACATCTTGTTTTGTGAAGTGAATTGAGTAACCACATTTTTTCCATATTGTATCACTTGCTCTTTAGCCAGGACACTGAGATGGTTGAGGTTTTGCTATTACTGAATGTTATATTAAAGGACCAACTGAGACAGTACAAGGTTGGGGACAAAGGAAGTGCTGGAGGAAACAACCTGGTTCCTGGAATTATGACAGAAGGACCTGGTCTGGAACAGCCATTTGGAAGAAGATTTTTAGCTTCTAAACCTGGTCCTTCTGGTTATCTTTAAAACCAAATCAAACCAAACCAAACCAAACCAAACCTATGGTCACCAGAAAAACACAAAAGGGAAGAAGAAAAATGGTCAGCAAACTCCCCTGGAAGCACTCCCACAGTGAGTCACAATTCTAACCAGCATGTATACGGTCAGTGATTCCTGGACACAGACACTCAGCTCTTCCGAGTCCTGAGAACGGCCTGCCCAGCTGCTCTAGATTTATCTTGTTTTGATCTCAAACAACGACTCCACTTTCAAAGCACCTCTCTTGCTGCTGTGTCCACAAAGATTTTTATCTCACTGGGCTTGTTGAAGGGATGGCCAATGGCTTTCTTATACTGAACCCTAGGGCATTTATTTATTGAAGAATACAGAGAAATACCACTTTACTAAGCCAAGAAATTGGTCTCACCAGGTTCCCCTTCCCTGCCATTTCAAGTTCCCTCAGTGCCACTATCCTAATTAAAGCAACCATCATCTCTCTCCTGTCAAGGTACCATGGCACAACCCTTTCTCCATACAATAGCCCAAGTGGTTTCTTTTTTTTTTTAAATAACAGTTTCATTGACATGATTCAGAAACCATAAAATTTATCCTTATAAAGTATACAATTTAATGCTTTAGATTTAGTCATGCAAACAGCATCTCTATCTCATTTTAGAATATACCCATTACCCTCCAAACTCCTCCTTCCTCATTTACTTACCACTTCCATTCCCCCTAGCCCTTGACAACCATGAAACTACTTTATTTCTGTTTGTCTATTCTTGATACTTCACCTAAATGCAATCATGCAATGTGTGCATTTTTTCTTGTAACTGGCTTCTTTTTACTTAACATAATACTTTTAAGGTATATCAATGCTATATCATATATCATTATTTTTATTGCCAAATAGTATTTCATATACTACATATCTATTTATCTATTTACTTATCAGATGATGACCATCTGGTCCATTCCAACTTTTGGCTAATTATGAGTAATGCTGCTATGAATGTTCATGATACTTGTGTGTGGAGTTATGCTTTTTATTCCTTTAGGCATATATCCACAATAGAATTGCTGCATCACAGGTAACTCCATTTAATATCTGGAGTAACTTCCAAACTGTTTTCAAAGTGGTTGCAGTCTTTTACATTCTTACTAACAATAGATAAGAGTTCTAATTTCTTTAAATTCTTGCAACAATTGTGATACATAATCTGTCTTGTAATTGTAGTCATACCTATGGATGTGAAGTTCTATCTCATTATGAGTTTGATTTGCATTCCCTTACTGAGTAATGATATCAAGCATCTTTTCAAGTGCTTATTGGCTATTTGTATATTTTCTTTGTGAAAGTGTCTATTCAAATCCTTTGCCCATTTTTTAACTGGGTTATTCCTCTTTTTTATTGTTGAATTATAAGTATCTTTTGTATTCTGCATATAAGAGCTCATGACCTTCTAAAAATAAATCAGATTTTGTCATTCCTCTGCCACAGTACCATAGTGACTACCTACTATATTTAGAATAAAATGCAAAGGCTCACACTGGCTTATAGGGTCTTATGTGATTTTACCACTCTCCCTGTCAGATGGCATTTTCTTTTCCTAGATGACTCTTCTTGTCATTCAATTTAAACTATCACTTTTCCAGACAAGTTCCTAAAAAGAAATTGTGTCTGAAGAAGCTCTTCCTCTACAAAGAACAAGGAAACTTTGAGGGGTGGTGGGGAGGGGTTGATGGATATGTACATTACCTTTATGATGCTAATGGTTCATGGAAGTATACATATTTTAAAAATCTTCAAACTGTATACTTTAAATATGTGCCATTTACTTTACTTCAATTAGATTCAATAAAACTGCTAAGTGAAAAAAATCCCTTTATAATCACACTTTTGTTGTCACTATATTGTATTTTATTTCCTGATGAGGAATTATCCAGAATCATCAAATTACTACTTAATTTGGCAATCTCGTTCCATTAGAATTCAGGATTCTGTAAGGGCAGGAATACTGCTCATCTCTGTCACTGTGTGGGCTCACAAATAGAGACTCCATAAATACTTGGCTTAAGGAATGAATGAATATGACAGAGTTAGGAATGAAAGGGTGACTCATGAGTCCCTCAGATTCACCAGTACTTTTATATGTAAGAGGACAAAGAATCTTATTATTTCCTTTATAAAGAGCAACTATCTTAAATTTGATCCTGGATAATTTTAAATATTATCAACTGTTTACTTAGTCTATGGTACTATTCCAGGACTTTGTGTATACTTTCCCATAGGTAGTGGTTATTTTTTTTATAACAGTATTATAGTAGTTTAAATATAACATATTACAATGAATAATAACAGTAATAATATACATTATATAGTAGTTGTATTAAATGTAATATAGTATATAATAGCAACAGTAATACATTAAAAACATTTGTTTAGCACTTACTATTTGCTAGATATTATGTAAGTATTTTACCCATATAATCTCATTTATTCCTCACAATAACTTTATGAAGTAGGTATAGGTATTCTTTAACAGATGAAGAATTTCATGTTTGAGATATGAACTAACTGCCCAAAGCCACACAGCTGGTAAAAGAGACTGGAAAGTAAGCTTAAGTTTATCTTACTTTAAAGACTGTGCAATTTCTATTCTAGTGCTTTAAGTATTTTTAAAAAGTGTTCATATATGAAGTCCTTAAGATGTGTACCTTGAGAATGGTACTACTCAAACTCCAAAACGGGCTAGAACAAAAATAAAAGCTGAAAAGCTCGTTACCTGAACATCAGGATATTTAGAATAAGGAATTTTTACTTTATCACAAATTCCATGTCTAGCTTCTTTGACATTTTATCCTTACTATTTCTGATTACTCTTGGGTAAACCACCACGTTTCCTACATAAATTGCTGGCCCTTGCTCCTCTGCTTACGAGGGAGGTTTACTGGTGAAAGTACGCAGACCATGAGAGGTCTAGGTAATTTCTTCATCAACATGGGTTCTGGTTTCAAGAGCTCATAGAAGGGCCTTTACCTTTAGTGCCAGGCGGCTGTAGGTTGTCTCCAGTCAAGGAACACCAGCCCACAGGGAAGATGTCCCGGGAGTCGAAGCGGCACCAGTAGTCAAAGGCCCCTCGCCACCCATCAAAAGTGACAAGCACCTCTGAGCCCCGAACCTCCCCAATAGTGGCTGGGCAAATGAAATGAGGGTTCTTCCTGTCCACAGCTTCTAGCTTCATTCCCATTTTGAAGTAGTTGTGGGGAGGCGATGGTGGTTCCTAGATGAGAAACAGAAATATGCATCCTAGACGTAGAGAGAGGCCGTGTATGCCAAAAGACTGCTACTTCAAGTGGTGACTAAAAAGTGACTGTTAGCTAAGATTTATAACTGAGGATGAGTTTTTCTTTTAAATGAATTTCAAAATATACCAATGTATTACTTTGATACTTCTAGTATTCTGACTCAGATCACTCTTTTTAGATATAAAGGTAACAGCTAAAGTTGAAGCCCTTTGTTCTCCTCCCCAGCTCAATTCCCTATGTATATTGTTGTATTTTATTATATCTCACATACCCATTTGCATACTTTAAAATTTTATGTAAATAGCATGTTGCTAGACTTAAAAACAATCTATGTCTGACTAAATTGATGGGCTTAAGTTCATTTCTCGTAAGTGATTTATTTAAATTTATTGCTATGATTATATTGCCTACATTTCCATTTGACTTATTTTTTTAGGTTCTTTACAATTAAATGAATTTTCTTTTTCTCCTTCCATTGATTCTGCTGTTAGCATTCTATTTACTGTCTTTTAGAGGACTGCTTTAAGAGTGTATAGTTGCATATCTGTTACAATTAAGTCTAAACTGATCTTTTATCACTACTCCCAAGAACCTTCAGAGTATTTTAACTATTTTTTAAAAGATTTATTTATTTATACATATAAGAACTGGGGTAGAGGTCAAAGCTGTGGGGGTTGAAAGGATTCACCAGAGACCGAGTGGGGAATAGAAAAGGCAGATCTACTGAAATACACTGCCAAGGGGAGCTTCTGGGGAGGCAGAAGAAGTCTGTAGCACCATATGGGTCACCTCTCTCCCTGGCCAGGTACTGAACTTGTATTGCAGTGTCTGTGAATAGCTTCATAGTGCTGTGCTTTAATTCTGGCGCCACCAGGGAGGCCCCAATAGTGTTTAAACTATTTCTGAATGAAGAGGTATCTGATTATTTAGTTTCATGTTGTTATACTGCCAACTAATCACTTTTTTATTACTGGTTTACAGTAACAAGACTTGATTAACTTAAACTGTTACCAATCTTTCCTCACCATTACTTCTTGCTTCTTACTTTCTGGGGTCAATAACTTTTTTCTTGAAATATATTCTTCAATTATTCTTTCAGTGGATAGATACTGGTAACTACTTGTACTGGTTTATTTGAAAATGATTTCACATTCATTCTGAAATAACATAAAATAGATAGAAAATTTGAGTTGGTGAATTATTTTTTCTGAGCACTCTGAAGATGCTATTCTGTTATTTTTGGCTTGTATAACTGCTGGCTTGTCAAAAAATGTGCTGTCAGCCTTTGAAGGTAATCTGTGTGACTACCTGCTCAGACCTTTCCTTCTCACTTTAGTTATACCAGGATGTTTAAAAAATGTATTTATCTTTATTACACACACTTGAAAATTCTGGCATTAGTTTTTCAAATATTATCTTTTTTCTAATTTCTTTCTAGATTTCATGTTCAGCATATAATGGATTTGCTAATATTTCCTTTGACTCTTTTTAATATTTTCATCTGTTTAATCTCTTTATGTTGCATGCTGGGAAAATCCCTTACACAGATGTTTCCGTCAATTCTTCTTTACCTCTGTCAGCTGTTTATGTCATGTTTTTATTTAATGGTTAAGGTTCAGTTCTAGACATCCAATTTGGTTTTTTCAATTTTTATTTTTTAAAATAGTGTTTTATATATTTTTTATTCTAAAAACTTCTCTTTTCATTTCTTAGTCATTTCTAAATACTTATAACCTCTATCTGATATTTCTATTATCTAAATAATAATGAGCATATTTGTTTGTTGTGTCTATTGAGATTGCATAATGTTTGCTTTGTTTTTAGAGCTTTTGAGGGCTTTGTAATTCTGAGCTGAATGCTCATCTTCAGTGGGTCTTCAATTTGGGGACTTCTGACTACTGGGTAAACACACTAGAGAGGTCTTTTTGTTTTTCTATATACAATTTTGGAGTTCTTGGGTAACATGGGCAATATATCTGAACTGGTGGTTCAATGGGAGAAGAATATGTTATCAGAGGTGATGACTGCATCCCCAACCTTATCCAGAGATACCAGCAGATATTCTTCCTCATCAATGTGATAATCTTTTCACAAAGGAGTAAACATTCAAGAAATATGATCAGGCTTTATGTGGCAGTTTCAGGCCATTTCTTCTGACTTGAATAAGCCCAAAGCCTCAACTTCTATTGTGACTGTTAAAAGATAAGCTCCTTGGAAAATAAGACTGGGGAAGCCTTTTAAAGTCCCTATGGATTCAGTATATATATATATATATATATTTATCCTTGTTTTCCTTCTTCATTTGCCTTCTGGAGAGTTTTCTTGCTTTCTAGTAAGCTCAGCAAAGCATTTAAAGGAGTATTTGCTGGTACTCTGAGATATCCTGTATTGAAAGGGTTTTAACTTCCCCACTACATTACATTTTAGAAATCAGAGTACTTTCAGAGTTTAGGTTTAAGTAGCAGCACAGGCAACCCTAACTCAGTCCTCATTTATTATAACTCTAACCTCACTAAAGAATTCAGCTGAGAGCAGAATGATGGACTCATCTCTTGAGAAACAAGGAAGACTAAATACCTGCTTTCGATCTCAGTTCCACCACTTACTAGAAATGTGATCTTGGGCAAGTTCCTCATTCAAAAATATTTGTTTAACAATTAAATAGAAATAAAAAATTTTATTTCATAAAGTTAACTGTGGGTATTAAATGAGATAGCGTATATAAACCCCAAACATATTGTACACACTCAAAAAATAGTCTTCCCTTCTCCCATATAGACTATATGAAATGCCAAGATTTAGAACAAGCATGGCGATTGCAGATTTATAAATACACTTTATGTTTTACTAATAAACACATTTTAATACCTTAAGAGACAGACTTCTACTACACAGATGAGATAAAAGGACATAGCTTATTATTAGCAGAGCTGGGACCCAAAAACCAGGAATCATAAGTTACAGTGTAATATTCCTCAGGAGATAATTGCTGTTCCAGTAAGTGCTAAAAAAAATTCTGCCAAAGTAGGTTCCAAGAAAGCATCTCAGTACAGAAATAGAATGAAGATACTAGAGGTGCAGAATAGAAGCATTTCACCTTAAGCAGTTTAGAGTCGGTGGCATTGGGGGGGGGATACGGTACCTTGTGGAAAATCCTGATGGGAGCCATCTCTGCTCCATTTAATGTCTTCAAAAGAAACATGGGCCAAGAGGAGGCATTCAGCCGGAATCCTGTAGCAAACATAACGGGCAAAGGATAAAAAATATGTTTCAAAGGGAATGGTGCTTATCAAGTTTTCCCTTGGGACTCCAGCTACTCCTGCCACAACCTATACTGTGATAGTTACAGAATCATAGACTGTTAGGAAAGGACTTAAAGGTTAAATAGAAGAAATGCCTCATTAGACAGATGAGGAAAATGAGGCATATAAGAGGGAATGTAATTTGCCCATGGTAATGTTGCAAAGTAGTGGAACAGAAACCCCAGTCAAGTGCTCTGACTCAGAGATACGCATTACAAAAACTACATCATAATGCTTAAAAAGCCTTCCTTGAAAATCCAAAATAGATGAGATAGGATTAACAAATAGTAGGAATGGGAAAGGGCATATAACTGCTTAAGAAGAAAGGGAAATTTCAAAACAAGTAAATCTTCTTGGTTTGTCTCAGTATAAAATTAGTCACTACTTCTCTCTTTCTTTCTCTCTCTCACAACAGACACATACACACATTGAGTAAAAAACACTTTTGATATTCATTTTTACTTAAACAACTAAGGAACAGTTAGGATGATGAAGATAGAAGGAATCATCCAATCCAAATATATTCACTTCTAAAAGAGTAAAAAGCAGCCTAGAGAGGTCGTCATTCAGCAAGTAAATGCCAAAAATAAATGCCACTTAATTAATTAATCATAAAAATAAAGTTATTATCTTAGTAAGGCCTTCCAATCAGAGCTCTGCACACTTCCTTCTACTTGCTTCACCTCTATCCGGAGATGACAAGATCTAGTGGCTTTTCATTTCTCCTATATAACTTAGCTTTCCCACCCTGACAAAAGGCTAAGCCACATCAAAGGTGCAGGCAGACGTAAAAACAGTATGTTATTCCCTGAGCACTTTACCTCAGGCCAGACACTGCATCACTTTCCACTAATTTACTCAAGACAACCCAGTGAGAAAGATACTATATTTTAAAAGAGAATAAAGTAAATTGCTTAAGATTTCAAAGTGAGCAAAAGATAAAGATAGGATTAAAACTCAGGTAATTTGACTCTTTGCCTGCCAACTTAACTACTATGTTAAACTAACAATATTCAGGTAAAAATGCAAAAGAAGAATCACCTTTTGGGATTAAGTATTAATTAACAACTATAATTAAAGGGGAAAGAGTGAAAAAAAGAAACAAAAACAGAAATAAAAAGAATGACCACTCCACATAATATAAATTTTATTATCAAAGCTGGCTAGTGATAAAGGCCCAACTTACCAAGTTCAGGGGATTTGTTAGGATAGTGCATTCATATTAACAATGGCCACAGCAATGTAGATCTTTCTATCACTTAATCATAAACTGCTATCACATTTTTGCTTGTCTAACCTTTTTTTTGTTTTGGAAAAAAACACTAATTCTCTGTGATTTGGTGGGGCTGCCTATCACAGGGCTCTTCTTGCCACTCTATTTTCTTCCTGTCATATGGTAATGACCAATTTCCATTAATATAAACCTCTGCCCTGAGTTCTCTTATATTTTCAACAGCGTTACTCCACACCTCAACTTACATGTCAAGAGATCTTAGAGTAAGTTTCAAACAGAAATTTTTGCTACCTTCTCCAAGGTTGTTCTTTCTTCCAGTCATCTCATCTCAGCTAGCAGCATCAGGTGCTCAGACCAAAAAGCCTCAAAGTCACCTTTGATTGCTCTCTTTATATCACCCTTCAAAATAGTTACCAAGCCTTGGTGGCTCTTATATCTACTATACCCTAAATCTAATAATTTCCCACCAGTCTATATTTCTTACCCACTATGATACCAATCTAATTGTAAGCCACAGTCAAACTTTGCCTGGACATGGCAATAGTCTTCTAACTGGACTCTGCTCTGCTCTTATTTTTTTGCCTCTCTATTGTCTGTTCTCCTCATAGTGGCCAAGGTGTAATATATAATGTAAAAATATTTATATCACTTTTATTCTTATATCCTAAAACACATTGTACATTTTAAAACTTTAAGTATGAATTATTTGGAGTTTACATTACTTGGCGGTTGCCTCCTTCTAACAACTCTTTTATCACTTCCCTACTCTTTCCATTCACTGGTTTTTCAAACAGTGTTTCAGCTCCAAATACACTTCTCTTTTCCTCATATCTTTAATAGTTCTTTATTGAAACATCACTTCCTCAGAGAGGTATTCCTAGACTACCATGCCTAAAATAGCCCCCTAAATGCTGCTCCCTTCCAATTTATCCTTAGTTCTAATCATCACTTGAATTTTTTCTTGTGAACTATGTATCTTTTAAGAACACAGTATAAGCTTCATGAGAATTTTACTGAACAAAGGATAAAGCTCCACTTATTGAGTAGGTGTTAGAGATTGTTGGATGCTTTATCATGTTATTCCATTTAATCCTCTCAAAAAAAGTGTTTAATAAGCAGAGCTTATCAATAATCTGGCAGATAAGGTAATTGAAACTCAAGGTTAAAAGTCAAGGTAAAGCAACTGAAGGAGCTTTACTGAAGGTTAAAGTCAAGGTGGCAACAAACTGAAGTAGTATGTGGCTGTGCTAATATTAGTTAGGTCTAACTTTGAATCCAGGCATGCTGCCAAGTGTTTTTTCCTTACCTAGGCTTTATAAAAAAATATTTAGAAAGAACCAGTTGTAGTTTTCAGGTGTTTCCAAGAATGCAAGACTAAATACGTCAGAGTTCAGTTATTCAAAATAACAGTGACCTGATGCTATTTCTGTACTTAAATGTAGAGCAACAGGTCTGGAATCTAATCATAGTTCGTGCCCTCTGGTGGCAGGTTAAAGAACAGCAGGAGCCACATGTGGGCCCATGCCACATCCTACAATTATTCTATACATTATGGTACTTGCAAGGTTTGTGAAGTTATCAGACTATACGGTTGTTAACATGACTCCGTGGCACTCCCAAATCATTCTCTCCTCCAAGATCTTTACATACATATACAAATACATGTACAAAACAACACAACTGATTCACTACACAACTGTACAACTCAACTTCCCTTTTCGTGCTTCTGTATTTGTCAGAGGACACTGAACCAAAGCAGTGTGTTCAAACCAAAACTAAGCTGTTGCTGTTACTTAAAAATTTACAGAGAGGCGCTCTCTCTGAGGAAGAAGTGAACACACAGCTTGGTGGTTTGAAATGGACTTTTTTTCCCTTTTATTTTCTATATATCTATTTACATTACTCTTCATTTTATAACAATGTTTACTTATCCGCCCCCCCCTCCTGTCATCACCATAGCCCCCCATTCCTCCCTCTGATCCCATTCTGTCCCCTTCCCTGTAGGATCTCTGTTTGTAACTGTTTGTTCTTGTATTGTTTTGTATTGTATTAACAATACACTTTCCCCTCCCCCCATCTTACTTGGGTCTCAAATTCCTCTTATAAGTGAAACCATTTGATATTTTTCTTTTTCCTTCTGACTTATTTCACTGATCATAATCCCTTCCAGCTCCATCCATGTTGTTGTGAATGGCACGAGTTTATCTTTTTATGATTGCTGAACAGTATTCTACTGCATACATATATATATATATATATATACACACCACATCTTCTTGATCCAATCATCTAGTTTTGGGTATTCGGGTTGTTTCCAGGATTTTACCTATTGTAAGTAGTGCTGTGATTCTTTCTTTCAGTTCTAATAAAACTCCTTTACTCCCATTCCTTGCTATACTCCCATATTGACTCTTAGACACAAGTAAATTCATATTAATTTAACTGGGTTGGGGTTTGTGAATATTTCTGAGACAAGCATAGATATACATGGTTTTTGGCATTATCCAACTCCAGTGCTCTTGCTGCAGGGAAGAAGGACTTCAGTATCTTAAACATTTTCTTAATAAAAGCAGCATTTAAGACACCATAGTTAAAAGTATTTGTCTCTTGTCCCCCTCCTATTCACCCTGTTCTGGACATATTTCTATGCAGTTTGAATTTCTGTGACAAGAAGATAAGCTATGTGTCTTTTAAAAATTCTTTTTTGCTGACAGGCCTGGAAGCTATTTAGCAAATGAGAACACTGATCTGTGGCAGGAACATACAAAGGGTTTCTTTACCACATATACACAGAGCATGTGACCAAGTTTGTGGAGGAGGCAGTTTATACTGTGATCCTGACACACTTGACTGGGGTCCCACTAGAAACTAGCTCCTCTTCTAGAACAGTAACTCTAAACTTGGATACTGGAATTCCCTGGTGAATCATTAAAGAATACATCAGTTATATATCACTCATTCTCATTTAACTTATCTGAGATAAGGTCTAGGCACTGAAACCTTTCAAATTCTATTTATGAAGGTAACATTGGTTTAAAACACTTTATGTGATTTAGGGGTACAGGTTCACACTTCTATGTAATCACACTCTGCCTACCACCAAAGCTCCAATAATCCTCCATAAGAATCCACTGGGTCCTCTCCCCACTTTGCTCCTATCTCCCAACCTCCCCTATGAGAGCCTCAGTTATAGTCAGATTTTAAAGGTTAGGACACTGAAATTTTTAAAAACTCCTACAATAATTATAACTGAAAGCCAAGTGTGAGAACTAATGATCCAGACAACCCTGTTTAGAATAATCAGTCTTGAGTACTAAAACAGGTTAGTAAAACAAAGTGTGAAGAAAAGATTGGCAGCACTGAGATAATTCTACCATCTGAAAATGATCCTACCTTCCCATTTTTTTTCCCCAGAGGACTCTGCAAGGGAGTAGTGAACGTTCCTCAGTGAACAGAACACACATATGCACACACATACACAAGTCATACAATATTTTAATGGAGAAGACTGCTCTTCTAGAGTAATGCTTCCCCAATATAGACCAAATTCGTTAAGAGTCTCGGGAGAGCCATTTGCCATGCAGAATCCCAAGCCCCATTACCTAGAGATTCTGATTCAGCAACTCTGGGGAGAGGTCCAGAGGAGGCCTGGGGAACATGAACACACACACATATATATGTATAATTATTTAAATAATTTATTTAAATTTTTTTATTTTGAAAAACTTAAACCTAGAGAAAAGTAGCAAAAACAGTACATGAGCAACTATGTACCCTTCACCTAGATCCAACAACTAAAAACATTTCGCTACATTTGCTTTCCACATCTATCCACATACTTTTCCCTCTGAGTTAGGCTGAGATTCAGAGAAATTGTGACACTTCAACTCTAATTCATCATAATTGTCCCTAAAAACTGCAATGCTATCATATCCAAAAAATTTAATTGAAAATATTCACAATTGTCCCACAAATATTTTTTTATTGATGTTTAATTTTTTTAAATACAGGATCCATTCAAGAATCACATATTGCATTTGGTTATCATGTTTCCTTTAACTTAGAATAGTCTTTTCTCTGTTTTTCATAAATTGATTTTTGAAAAGTCTGAGCTAGCTACTTTATGGAATATCCCACAATTTTGATTTTTTCTGATTGTTTCCTTACATTACATTCATGCTAAACAGTTTTGACAAAAAACACTATAAAACGATGTTTCTTACTGTACTATTTCAGAGGAATATCAATTTAATTATTGATGATACAAAATTTGATCACATGCTAAGGGGTAAACAATTTCTTCATGGTTATTTGCCTTTGTAATTAACAGGTAATCAGTGAGGAGAAACCATTAGACTATGTGAACATCTTATTCTTCGATAAGCTTTCTTTTACCCACTAGTTTTAGCAGTCATTATCCTTGCCTCAATCAATGAAAATGATGGTTGCAAAACGGCAATTTTATTTTTACTTATCTTCAGTCATTAAAGTAACATTTAACAACATACTGGAATACATTCTAGCTTATCATTTAAGTATATACACTAAATTGTAACTAAAATATACACATATGCATAAAAATAGGCCAACAAGTAAAAGTGAAATGTTAACAATGTTTTTCCTTGATAGTGGAATTATATATTTACTTGCCTTTTGCACATCTGTAACTGCTACAAGATTACTCTGTAATAATAAATAATTTTTAAAGCAGGTTGAGAATAATTCAGTACTATGCAGCCATAAAAAGGCATGAGGAATGTCTTTGTAGAACTAAGAAGTCATCTTTAGGATGTATTGTTAAATGAAAAAAGGGAAGGTTTAGAAATATTTGTACAGTAGGCTTTCATTTATATAAGAAGGTAGGGAGATACATGTATATGCACACATACATTTGTTTATATTTTAAAAAACAGACTACAAGCTTAAAGAAATTGGTTAGCTATGTTAGGGAAAATGAACAGGGTGAGGGTATGTCACTGAATATGCTGTCTTTTATAGATCAAATGATACAACACATATTCAACTAAAATTCCCTTGTTATGAAGAAAAAAAGAAAAGAACTCAAACATGCTCAGTAACCATAATATTGTGCTAATATTGTTATTCTGAGACTACTGTAGGTGTGTTGATGTATAAAGCAAGTGAGTTATCTAATTAGAAATGTGGAGAATCAGGATTTTGTTGTGATACAAAGATATAGACTTGAGAAGTAAAGATGAAATAAGCAAAAGTAATATTGTTATGAACTACAGTAGGATTTATCAATATGAACTAATAATTTATTTTAATTAAAAAAAAAGGTAGTTCCTATCTCTCTTTATCAAAAGGACCTAGAAAGAAGTTAACCCAGTAGCACTGAACACCTTAATGCTCAGGTTATGGTCTCTAAATATCACTTTCCACTTTAAAAAACCTAGGTACCTAAAACAAAGTTGACTCCATATATGGGGAAGCAAATGTATAAGATGAGATGGAGCATAGTGAAATTTAAAAAAGTTAACAGTGCTATCAAATAATAAAGAGTTACAAGATAACTTGAGCCTCTTATGAGATCAACAACAATTTATGAATCAATAAGGACAATTAGTGTAATGGAATGAAACACATCAAATACGTATGAATCCTTCAGTTTAGATCCTTAAATAACTTTGGAGAAATTACTATTTAGGAGAAAGGCACTAAAACAATTATTATTTTGAAAGATGGCAAATGAGGAATCAAGCATATGCATAAACTATACCTTAGAGTAACCAAATGACTGATGAAAGTTTATCTTAATAGATACACTCCATTTAATTTATGAGGATATAATGGTAAAATTTAAGTTCCCCATTTTGCAACCATAATGAATTCATGGATCTAATCATGGGTGAGCAGACTCCAGTCAGTAGGCATTTCACCCATTTTTGTAAATAAAATTTTATTGGAATAAAGCCTTTGCTATTTGTTGATGTATTGTCTGTGGCTGCTACTGCATTACAAGGACAAAGATGAGTAGTTCCAACAGAGAACATATGGCCTGCAAACCTTTACTAACTGACCCATTAAGAAAATCTGTCAAACTCAGCTCTAGACCACAACAATGACTGCTACATTATAAAATGACAACTAGATCATATATTCTTCCAAATAGAAGTAAACACCACCACCTATGAAATATTTCTTACAAAAAAATTAAACTAGATCAAGTGTCTACATGCAGCTACTATATTTAAGAGAGGATAGAGAAACATGTTAACTGATTCCATAGAGATACAATCATCAAAATCTAATTGTGGGAAATTGTGAAGACAAATGACTTAGGTCTTTTAGCAAATAAACTGTAAGAAAAAATAAGAAAGCAAAAGAGAACCTATAGATTAAGAAAAATTCAAATGACATTAACCAACTGTAATATGTGAATCTTATTTGGCTTTTGAGTCAAAGAAACAGAAAAAGAGAGAGAGAGAGAGAGAGGGAGAGGGAGAGGGAAGGAGGCAGGGAGGAAGGGAGGGAGAAAGAGAGCGCGAGTGAGAGAGGGAGGGGAGACAAAAAATTGGGAAAATTTAGATGCTGAATAAATATTGATATTAAGGAATTGTTATTAGTTGTTTACATGTAATGATTTATTATGTTTTAAAAATATTATCTATTAAAGATACATACCAAATATTTAATGAGCAAATTGGGCAGGAGAGGGTAGGGGGGATATACCAGTACAGATAAAACAAAATTGTGTTGATATTAATAATATAAAGGATGCATTAACAGTGTCACTATCCTTTCTACTTTGAAGACACTTGTAATTTTATATTATAAATACTTTCTAATAGGGAAAATGTTAAATATTTAACACACGGAGAATTTTTTCAAATGATACATGCCTTTTAATGCTCTATTAATCTAGCACAAAATCCTAAAGGGAGCACTGCCCAAAGCCCATAACCCATCTCTCTATATCCTCCATTGAAATTCATTGCATCATTAGTGACTGACAGTAATTGATGAGATGGGTTAATCACTCAGGTACATTGAGGTCATAAAAAAAAAGTGAATCTGATTTGGAGAAGAAAAATCTAGGGGTTAGTTTAAGCAAAATGTAGTATTAAGAACTTTATCTAATTTTGATTCCGTGAGAAATTCTAAGGAACAAGGGAGGAAGGAGATAAGGGACCCTTGTAACATCTAAAGGAAGACTTTTTTCCTCACCTTTTGTTACTATAGGATTTGGTAAAAAGTTCTGTGGCATTCAGGTACATTAAATAATCAGCTTTCCTTCCACTCTCTCAGGGTAAATGGAACTGACAAAGAAGGATGAAGGATATGGTTTCTCATTAAAAAGGAGAGTGAGAGAAGCAAATAATAAGAGAACACAGAGCTGGAAGTGTCCAGACATTACAGCTCATTTCACTTGGAGTGGGCCTTTCTTTTGGACTATATGAAACAGAGGGACAAGCAAGGCCCTAGTGCTTCCACAGAGGACACATAATTTTGGGGTGATAACTAATTGCCTAGGGAAAACTTGGGCTTATTTACTCACCAAGAGGAGGCTGCAGCATACCCCCATTCTTCTCACAATTCCCAATCGGCTGGATTTCAGATGAGTCAACCAGCCTCCAGAAGTCATTCTTATTGTCGCTGCCATCAAGGCGGAGACGGAGGCGAGCACCTGTCAATCCAACCACTGTGGCAATACAAGTAGAGGTGGTGTTCCTGGGATCCTGTGCTTCCAGTTTCATGCTGATCTTGAAATCGTTGCTTGGAGGTGTGTAGGACTGAGAAGAGCAAGCCACAGGTATTAGGTAGACTAAGAGTAAAAAATACATTTAGTAAGGATATTAAGAGATGGAACCGGACAATTTATGCCTTGGATTCAAATTGGTTGCAGACAAGGCAGGGACATCTGCCTGGAATTATTTCCTAATACTTAGGAGGGTTTTGTGCAAAAGAAATCCTGGAAGGTAAGATGAAGGGGTAAAAATTACTTTCCACTTCAGTATAAAATATTGACTATAGCAGTTAAGAAAAGAACAAGAGTGTCTCAAATAGTCCTTATTTAAATGCTTTCTCATTTAACTTTTCTAACACTCTAGCCCTCTAGGACTTCATAATACTTTCTTTTTAGGATCATTACATTGTATTAAACTATCATCATCTTAGAATTTCTTCACTGAGATTTCAGTATATTGGCTTGCATATCTATCACACAGAAAAAATAATGGGGGTTGATTTTTTTCTTATTTTGACATAAAGTTATACATTAACTGTTTTTTTTAAGCAATTTTAAGTTTTTAAAATTGTTAAGGTCATACAATAAACTATGCACTCTGATAAGTTTTGACATATGTATATACCCAAGATATCATATATATATATGTGTGTGTATATGTGTGTGTGTGTGTGTGTGTGTGTACACACACACACACACACCATATAAACATTTGAAACCATTACACAATGAAGATTGTGAATGTGGACATATTTTCAACTTTTCTCTCGTCCCTTTCTAATCCCACTTTCTGGCCTTTCCTAGATTCTTATTCCCAGGCAACCATAGATTTGGTTTGCATTTTTTAGTATTAAATGGAACCATAGAGAATATACTCTTTTTTTGGGGGGAGGTGTCTGGCTTCTTTTATTCAGAATAACTATTCTGATAGTCATGTGTATTGTTCAGTGTATCAATAACTCATTTCTTTTGTTCAAATTAATAGTTGATTTTCACAATTACAGAAAAATTAAGAGGAAGGTACAGATGTTTTCTATAATCCCTGCCACTACAAATACACCTCTCTTCCATTATCAGCATCCTTCATTACTGTGGTCCATTTGGGTAAGCAACAGGGAGTATGATTGCTGGGTCCTATGGTAGGAGTATGTCGTTTTGTAGATCACAAATTATCTTTTGCCAATGGACATTCTCATAGCCTAATGGACTATATTTATGCAGTACTACTTCTGCACTCTCTATTCTGATTCATTGACCTGTTTTCACCAATACCACATTGTCTTGATTATAGTAGTTCTAGAAGTGTTAAGGTCAACAGTGTCAGTTTTATGACTTTGTTCTGTTGGCTATCCTGAAGCTTTTGCTTCTCCAAATAAACTTCAGGGTCAGCTTGCCAATATAATTTGCTGGGATTTTGAATAGGACTGCACTGACTTTATGGGTTAAAATGACACATCTGAGACTTCCTATCTTTAGGTTTATTTAGTTTTTATTTTATTTGTTAATTAAAGCATTGTGGTTTTCCTATTAATCTTGTACATGTTAAATTAAAAAAGTATTATATACTTACACATACCTAAGTATTTAGCTTTAAAGGTGCTAATATAAATTATATATTTTCAGTTTCAAATTCTAATTGTTTATTGCTGGTTACAACATAGTAACTGACTTTCATATATTATGCTTGTATACTACAACATTGCTATAGTTGCTTATTAATTCTAGGAGGGTTCTTTTTTTTCCAGGTCAATTCTTTCAAATTCTCTGCATATACAACCACCTGAAAATAAGGAGAGAGTTTTATTTTTTCCTTCCCAATCTATGTATCTTCTATTTCTTTTTTTGCTCTTATTGTAATTGCTAGGTCATCCAATGACATGTTGTAAAGGATTGGTGAAAGGAGACATCCTGTCTTGTTCTTGATCTTAATGGGAAAGGTTCCAGCTTCTCTCCATTAAGTATAATATAGATGGCTACAGGTTTATTCTAGGTATTATAATTTAGCATAACTATACTGATATGCATAGATATTGCTGAATATATCAACAATCTCTTTTTATTATTGAGCAGTCTATCATGTTGATGACTATCAGGCATGTTTTCAGTTTTTAAACTATTACAAGTATATCCTCTATGAGGTTAAATCTTTGCATGGAAATAATACCTTCTTGGTTAAATTTCTAAAGGTGGACTAGACAGGTATATATAGATACTTAACTCACAAACAAGGAAATTTGCTTTTTTATAGTATATTACTGCAGTCAGAGAGTTCTACAAACATCACTCTATCTAAATTTAGAACATTTTCATCATCATCCAAAATAAACTCCATATCCAATAGCAGTCACTCTCCATTCTCCACTTAGTCTAGTCTCTAGAAGCTATTAATCTACTTTTTCTCTCTAGATTTGCCTGTTTTGGACATTTACTACCAAAAAAATTACATGTGAATTTTTCTGTTTTCACCAAGCATGAATTTTTTCAGGGTTAATCTATATGGTAACATCTATCAGTATTTCACTCATTCTTACTGCTGAATAACATTCCATTGTAAGGTTATATAACACTTGTATATGACACTTAAGCTGTTTCCTTTATGGCTATACTGACTAATGAAGCCATTAACATTTGTGTGAATGAAGCCATTAACATTTGTGTGGACCTGTTCACATTTCTCTTCAGGGCATATCTTATACACAGGTACCACTCAAAGCAGAATGTTTATATGATAATTTCATGTTTAACATTAAGGTAACTTATAAACCCTTTTCCAAAGTGGTTATAGCATTTTACAATCTTACCAGCAACACAGGAGGGTTGTAATTTCTACACATCACTGCCAGCACTTATATCAGCCTTTTTAAATTTAGCTATGCTAGTATATATTAAGGGCTATTTCACTGCAGTTTTGATATGAATTTTCCTAAAAACTAATAATCTTAAACATCTTTTATGTGTTTATTGGCCATCTGTATATTTTTGGAGAAATACTAAAATTCTCTGCCCATTTTACAATTAAGAAAGTTCTTTATAAGTTCTGGATGCAATTCCCTTATCAGATACATTATGCAAATATTTTCTCCCATTGTTTGGCTTAACTCAGTTTTCTTGATGTGTCCTTGAAAACACAAAACTTTTAAGTGTGATGAAGTCCAATTAGGCTTTCTTCGTTGTGTTTTAGGTGCCACATCTAAACATTCTCCCTAGTCCAAGGTCCTGAAGGCTTGAACTTACGTTTTCTTTTAAGTTTTATAGTTTTCGCTCTTACATTTAAGTCTACCATGTACTTGGAGGTAATTTTTGTATATGGTATGGAGTTAGGGTCCAGCATCATTATTTTGCATGTGAATATATGTTATCTCTGCAACAGCTGTTGAACCCCCCCCCTCAAAACAGGTTGCTTTGAGTTTTATAGGAATTACATAAAATCACTATGGAGAACACTGTGGTAAGCTATATGATTTGTCATTACTTTTCCCAAGTCAGTGGCTTATATTTTCATTCTCTTGCCAATGTCTTTTGAAGACATTTTAATTTTGATAAACTCCATCATTTTTTTTTAAAAAAGGAAACATGCTTTTGGTAAGGTGTTTTCTTCATATGGGTTTTATACATTTTTTAGCATATTCCTAATATTACCTTTTTTCTATGATTGTAAATGGGAGCTCATCTTCTGTTATATTTTCTACTGAGCTACTTTTAGTCACTGAGTAATTTTCTGGTTTTAATACTCCAGTAAAAATACATTTTTAAGTTAAGAGAATAATAATTTCTAATTTACTGATTTTTATTTTTTGAAATTAAATGGTGTGCTCAGTTTTGTCAAAAAATTTAATTATTTTACATTTCCACCAACAATTTATGAAAGTTCTACTTTCTTGCCACTATTAGGTATGGCCAGTTTTGTTTTTTTTTTTAAAGATTTATTTATGCGTACAAGAGCTTGGGTGCAGGCCACAGACACAGGGGGGAAAGAGGATCCACCAAAGACAGAGTGGGGAGCAGAATAGGCAGATTGACAGAAATACACTGCTGAGGGGAGCAGCGGGAGAGATCGGAGAGGTCTGCTATACCATGTGGGTCAGTTCCCTGGCTGTGGATGAAACCTATGCTCAGTGGCTGCTTAAAGCTTCATAGTGCTGAGACTGAACCTCTTGTGCCACCAGGAAGGCCCCCAGGGATGGCCAGTATTTTTTAAATCAGAGATACTTAAATAAATGTATATAGATGTATCTAATTTAACAATAGTTAGACTTATGATTTTTATGATGGTGCAAAAGTAAAATGCATTGAGTAGAAAATGTACTTTGAATTTTGAATTAGGACATTCTGCTTTTTACTCCCAGTGTATGTAAGATATTCAGTGTAGAAAAGATATGTAAGATATAATTACGTAAGATCTTCAACACCTAATTACAAAATAAGTTTTGTATTACATGATTTTGCCCATCTCTAGGCTAATCTAAGTAATCTGACCAATGTAGGCTAGCCTAAACCATGATGCCTGGTAGGTTAGGTGCATTTTTCATTATGATATTTTCAACTTACAATGGGTTTGTTGGTTGTAACTTCCATCACAAGTCAAGGAAGATGTGTAGTGACAACTCATTCTGCTTTTACTTTGTATTTTCCTAATGAAGCAGTCCTGAGTCATTTTCCTAATGAAGCAGTCATGTGCTTATTTGCCACCCATGTATTTCCTTTGGTGTTTATTCTTAATCTTTCAATCTGGATCCCTTTTCTCTTTTTTTGGACTGACTCCAGTGGTAGAACAATGTTGCCCAAAAATGGCAAAAGTAGACAAACTACCTTTCACAGAGATTGAAATATCAATATGAAAAATATTTCATGTATTACCCTTGTAATTGTAACTTGCAGTGGCTTTCCATTCCTTTGTGTAAATCTGTAATTCCATCTGGTATCATTTTCCTTCTGGACTTCCTTTAACAATTTTTATAGTGTGAGTTTGCTAGTGATGAATTCCCTTCAGTTTCTGTAAGTCTAAAAATATCTTTATTCAGTCTTCATGTTTGGAAGAACTTTTTGATGAATATAGAATTCTAGGTTTTGTTTTTTCTCTTAGTAGTTCAAAGATATGATTCAACTTTCCTCTTGTCTGTATTGTTTCTGACCAAAAAGTATCACCCTTATCTTATACTTTCCCTGTATCATTCTTATCTTATTCAACTCCCTAGTATCCCTTTTTTCCCTGGCTGCTTTTAAGATATTCTCTATCACTAGTTTTGAGCAATTTGATGATATGCTATAGTGTAGTTTTCTTCTTATTTCCTCCTTTTGGTGGGGGAAGGAAAGGAAGAAGCTCACTGAGCTTCTTAGATCTGTGATTTTAGTTTTCCTCAGTTTTGAACAGATATGAGCCACTATTATCTTCAAACACTTTTTTCTGTACTCCATCTCTTCTTTGACCACTCCACTTACATGGTCTATTAAATCACTTCAAGTTACTGCATAACTCACTGATACTCTTTCTCAGGAATTCTTATTTCTCTTTTGTGTTTTATTTTGGATAGTTTTTCTTGCTATCTTCAAGTTTACTGGTCATCAATCCCATTCGGTGCCCAGTATATTTTTCACTTTGCACATAGTAGGTCAAATGAGGTTACTTTATATCTCCCATATCTCTCCTTAACATCTGAACAAGCTACTGGACAAACTACTTCTGGTGGCTACTGGGTTCAATCAGGTTTTCCTTTCCTTGAGCCATGGTCTTAAACTCTAAAGTTTACTGGTACCAAGAAAATCATAAGGGGTTCTATTCATTTGTTTCCCATCACTTAGAGATCACTTGCTTGGCTGTCTAAGATCTGTTACTTGAATAACATTTAATATATTTAGTCTATCTTTTTATTATTTCAGCTGGGAGTATGAATTCAGCCTCTATTATTTCAAATGAGCATACGCCCTGAAATTGTATTTTTCTAAGACAAAATTCAAACTCAGAGTGAAATGTTTACAGTTTGAAGAAATAACTAGTGACTAGAAGGGAGCTATAAATAACCTTCTGGTGTCTGTTCAGCAGCAATATACTTCTTTGCTTATGAGTCTTAATGTATTGACATAGTCAGCATCATTTATGCATCATGCGGGACATTTAATACTATGTGGAAACTCTGAATAGTGTCTAATAAAGCCCTAAAACTCCCCAAAGGGGCTCAGTGCCAGCTTCCTTATGGAAAGGTAAGATTTTGGCAGGGATGTTGAATACAGAGAAATGAATACTACTCTACTTTGAAAAATTATCTAAGAGCTATAGCTATTACGTATCTGCCTGAATTAAAGCGATAGAAAAAAAATAGCACTTGTTTTCAGTTAACATTGAAGCACTTGTTTTCAGTTACACTGAATATCCTCAAGGAGGTAAAGAAGAAGGAAAAGATGTTACTTGCGATGAAACTGGGAAGAAGGAATATTGTCTAAACTCAAGTGACTATTATGTCCTAGGTTGTATTCTTTCCATAGTTTACTAGGGCCTGCAAGAGAGAAGCTCTCAACTCATGTTTAGCTTATCTTAGAATTAGAAAAACTTGCCTCCCACCTACTGAAGATGTTGAGAATCATTTACCTGCTTGAAGCAATGGACAGGTGCTGGGACTGAACATGTTTCTTTTAGGTATTTGTCCCAGGTAAAATGACCTGTAAAGGAAATAGAAATCTCTATCACACTCAACTTCCTAAAAATGTTTTCAGGATATAATCTACACTAAATATTAAGCTGTTTACAGACAGTTTGGAGCACAAGAAAACTTATTTTATCCTGTTTGAGCTCAAAGGAATAGCAGGTAAGTATCTAAGTGACCTGAGTGGATCATTGTATGTCATTTTTAAATCATGTCTGAAAATAGCCTGAGACATTTCTCATATTAGTTCCTAAAGTGATCCAAAATGCCAAAGCAAGATACCACAGTCTGAGAGAAGTACCCAGGCAGCTTGTGCAAACAGAAGAGGCAGAAAATGGGCAAAGAGATTGCTTCTGAACAACATGTCTCTTGAAAAGGTCACTTAGTGTCTTCATGTAATATCTTTTAACACACAATATGATTGAATAACACCATCTCAAATCAGAGAGAATAAAGGAAAGGCTATCTTAAAGATGGGATAAAAGGGCTCCAGGGTAAGGAAAGCCAGAATGAATGAGAATATACTGGAATACTCATTCTAAAGTGATTCTCTCTCGCCCACCTATATTGTATCCCCATCTCTGCCATAGTTGCACTGCTCTAAGGTACAAAATGACAAAAATTTAGCAGATAAAAACAGGACGAGATTTGTATTTCTGATGACAGTATAAAAATAAGTTGGGAAATATACAGAATCTTTTAGCCTCTTGAAGTGGCTGGCGTTAAGTCTCAAATTTTGAGGAACACTGTAGGAAAGAACGATTTTTAATGAGACACCATACTTAAGCCAGGCAAAACATATGCATTTTGGGGACAGAATGTTACATACATATTTTACAGGACTAGAGGCTTATCAAGTTATTTTAAAAGGTTAAACCATTATCAATCTCCCACTAATACCCACCTAGAGGTGACCCCATGATGGAGCAGAGTGGGTCCCAGAGACTTTCATAAGCTAAAACACTGTAGCAAACCAGCATTTCTTGAAGTTTCCTCTGCAGTGGAGCAGCACAGGGCCCCTTTGGGCCATGCATAAAGCACTAGCTGCTGAGAATAAAAATGAGTCACTGAATAATGCAATCTAAATCACTCCAAAGATGATGCCAAGAGCTCATACTCTACTGACTTTATAGCTTCTGTTTTTAAACTAGTACCTTTCCACAATCATTAGCCAAGCCAAATAGATATTTTTCAGAAATTACAGTCAGTTCTTATTCATTTTATGGACTGGCCAATTATTAGTTATCTTGAATAGTTAATCCATAGGGAAAATGAGATGGATATTTCCTAGAGTCAAGATCTGGAGTTTGTCAGGATATAATAGTTGCCTCCTAGCTGAAATAGCACTCAAGTGAAGACAGAATATATGCAATTACTTGTTAGAAAAACAAAACATTACAAATTATTATTCCATCTTTACAAATGAAGGATTAAATAATAAGTCTTAGATTTAACTGGACTGTGATTCTTGAGTTCTAGCATCTAGAGAATCACTGTCCCCAAAACAAAACAAAACAAAAAAACCTTCCTGTAATGACAGAATGCTTTCTATCTATAAGAGAGCCACTAGCCAGGTGTAATTCCTGAACACCTGAAATGTGACTAGCATGAGTGAGGAATTAAATTTTAAATATTGTTTAATTTGATTTAAATACTTATGCCTGACTAGTAACTACTGTATTGGGCAGCAGAGGATCTAGTTTTGGTCAGTCCTAGGCTACTGCTTGAATTAGCTTGAGTTCTGACCAAAACCACATAAGGGTTTTGGTTATAAAACGTATGATGGCATCAGGAATACTGAAATAACTAGGATATCAGTTACAGTTCTCTATTACACATACCAATTATGGCAATCAATCCCTTTTATACAGGTAAGAAATCTTGTATCACCTACTACTTTGGAAAGAAACACCCTATTACCAAGAAAATGAAAAGTAATCACTGTTAAAAGCAGTTCTTCCACCATGAGGGTATGAGCCACATCTAAATGTTTGTTTGGCTGCTAAGACAGTCCCTTATTAACAAGTAAACTGTAAAGTAATTTAATTTATATTGACCCAAGAAGGATACTGAGTCATTCTTATTACTACTTATTACTTATACTGTAATGCTCATAATGGAGCCAAACAAACTTATCACTCTTTTAAGTTTCGTTAAACACTAAAATAACCACAGAAGAAACAGGACAGGTAGTAAGGTATATATCAGAGGTTATCAAAGTCTTGGTAAAGGTCCAGATAATAGGAAGTTTATGTTTTGTGGGGCATGAAATCTTTGTCACAACTCAACTCTACCATTGTAGCATGAAAATAGACACAGATAGTATATAAATATAGTATAATTGTGTTCCATTAAAACCTTATTTACAATAAACAGATAGCAAACTGGATTTGAGCCCCCAAACTGGCTACTAATAAATAGCACAAATAAACAGGCTTTAAATTTTATAGTTAAAAGTGTGCCTTCTTCTAACCTCTATTCATTGGTCTTATATGTTCCTCTTTAATATGTCCCAAAACGCTTAGTGTTTATTTGATGTGATTATTTAGGTACATCTATATCTCTTGGCAATGTTCTGGCCAATATCCTCTATAAGAACTCTACTTTATCCTACTAAAATTTGGGTTTCCCAAATTCCTAAGAGCAAAAATATTAATTCAATGTGAATTAGACTTGAACGTGAGACCTGAAGCCATAAAATACATAGAAGAAAATATAGACAATGTACCCCATGTCAATGGCTTCATTGATGACTCTAAGGCCTCAGCTTCAGTGGCTAGGGAAACAAATGCACAACAAAAGGAACTATTTCAAAAGTTCTTCACAGTGAAAGAAATTATCAGTAAACCAAAAAGATATCCATTGAATGGGAGAAAATATTTGTATATCATACATCTGATAAAGAGTTATTATCCAATATTTACAAAGAACTCAACAATAACAAAATAACCACCTAATCAAGAAATGAGCAGAAGATCTAAGAGACATGTCCCTGAAGAAGACATAGATGGCTAACAGATACATTACAATGCTCATCATCCCTTATCAGGGAAATGCAATCAAAACCACAGTAAGATACCATCTCATACTTGTAAGAATGGCCTATATCAGAAAGATAAAAAACAATTAGTGTTGGTGGGGGTGTGGAGAAAAAGGAACCTTGGTATACTGATAGGTGGAAATGTGAATTGGTCTAGCCCCTATGATAAACAATATGGAGATTCTCAACATATTAAAAATAGGTCTACTATATGACCCAGCAATTCCACTCCCAGTTATCTATCCAAAGAATATAAAAACACGAATTAAAAAAGATACATGCATTCCTGTACTCACTGCAAGACTATTTACAATAGCCAAATTATGAAAACAACCTACATAACCAACAATGGATGAGTAGAGATGAACAATGGAATTCTACTCGGTTATTAAAAAAGTGGAGGGTATAATGCTAAGTGAAACACAAACATTGGATGGTTTCCACTCAAGTATAGAATATAAAAAACAACAAAAAAGAAACTGACAAAAACAAGCACTGGGATCTGACTGTGGAACTGATGTTACCAGAGAGGATGGAGGCTGGGCAAAGGGTAGAGGGAGCCCATTGCATTAGCTCTTTGGTGGGTTATTAGCAATTTGGTGGTAGGTGTGGTGTGGTGACATATATTGAACAAGGTGTAAATCTGTACTCCTAAAACACACAATGTTATAAATCAATGTTATCTCAATTTAAAAAATGAATAGACTAATTACTTTTTCTATATAGCATTCTGTCTCCCCAGAATCCCACCATGTCCTTATCTACTATAATATTGCTCATACCTTTATTTTCATAATTATCTTATCACAGTAATTTATGTATAAGCTCTTTGATGACAGGGGCTACTGTTTATTAATATTTTTCACTTCACTGTTTAACACAGTGGCTGAAACTTAATAGAGACTCAATGAAAGTTTGAGTGAATGAAAAGCAGCAGCAAGCAAGCAACAGTCTTTTCTGGACAAGTAAAATTATATCTGAGATACTAAATTTATTTTGGGAAGGTAAATAGAACAAACCAAATCTAAAGAGGACCTAAGTAGTGAAGAAATAGGAAATCATGTCACCTGAATACCAGCTAAAAGAGCAACAAAGATTTCACACACAAAGAGAGCAAAATCGCTGTTATTCCTCTCCCATCTAGCCAATATATATTTATAGTGTGTACCAAAGCATTGTGCTGGGTCCTAGAGTTAACCACAATAAAAATCTTGCCCTCACAGAGCTTCAGTTTAGTGAGAGACAGAGACTAACAGTCAAGTATAAGAAACTGGCTGGCACATGGAGATGGAGGGTGCTCCAGGAGCCTCGAGAAGGAGGGAGATGGAAGAGTCCCAGAGGGAGCAGCCTCTAGGCTTCTACATCAAAGTGTAAAAGGATAAGCAGGAATCAGTGAATGAGAGAGGAAGTACTTTTTAAATTTTACTTTAGACTGAAATAAAAGCATTAAAGGTGCAGAACTGAATAAAAAGCAGTTCTAAAAACCGAATCTTTTAGTAGCTAATAGATGGAGTTAAAGAAATAGCAGCCCAGAAATGGAGTTATAGATAAAAGCAGTGTTTAGGTTTCAGAGAGCCTTACACAAAAGACCGGTGAGAAGAAGCAGAATTGAGCAGTTTGCAGAAAGATTAATTCTATCTCTAGTATGAAAAATGGACCAGAAGAGAGTCAGGCTGGGGCAGGAAGGCTAGCCTGGAAAACCCCTAATAATCTAGGTGGCTCTAATTAGGAAAGTCACAGAGTGGCAGTGAGAAGATAGTCTCTAGAACTGCTTTCTATCAACAAGGGGTCGGTGGATGCAAAATTCATTCATACTATTTGATATAGGCCCAAAAGTGTGACTTACAGAAATTACAAAGAAACTAATTTTGGCTCTAAAACCATCTGTCTAAATATGAAGTGAGTTGCCTGAAAAGGCTGTTAATTTGCCAACAACTTTGAGGAGCTGTTTTAGAGATTTTATAAGAAATACATCATGCTGTGGTCAACTTCGGTTATTTTTTTTTAAAGATTTATTTATTTATGCATACAAGAACTGGGGTACAGGCCAGAGGTGGGGAGCGGGGTGAAAGGATTCACCAGAGACAGAGTCGGGAGCAGAACAGGCAGATGAGGGGAGCGGGGGCAGGTCAGGAGAGGTCTGACACACCATGTGGGTCACCTCCCTGGGTAGGGATCAAACTTGTGCTATAGTGACTGGTGATAGCTTCATAGTGCTTTAATCCATTGTGCCACCATGGAGAGCCCTCATCTTAGATTATTTTAAGGCCTCTTCCAAACTCTTAAGATTCTGTGACTATTGAATTTTATATTTTGGGTTGCTTTCTGTGTTTGCTGAGTAAAATGAAATGTGTAGGATTAACTTATCAGATGATAGCTCTGACTGTGCTGCCTCTATTCCCATGAGGAAAAATACTTTCAAATTTTAAGCAATATTTAATAGCTGATGTACTTTATGATAAATTGAGTATATCCACTTTTCATGATTTCCTGTCAACAAATTATGTTGTTTATAAATTATCTTAAGTTGTCACTGGACCTGTAACTGCTATTACCATATCAGCAACAAAACCCAGAAACAGTAGGAATACCATTTGCCCGCAACATGACAAATTATGTTCCTCATCATCCATGTACACTATAACTTGCAAAGTAGGATTTATTTCCATTTAAAAGATAATAGGTGCAGAAAGATTACATGATTTTCCTGAAATCTCAAAACTGGTAAGTGGGAAATAGGAATTTGAACCAAGGCTTGTCTGATTTTATGTCCATGCATTTTCTGTCACAATAGCACCCTGGAAAGTTCCACAAAAGTTGCAAGGAATAATTAAAATTGACAATCATTTATTGCTTATCAGGTGCCAGCCCCTTTACCTGCATTATTTTATTTTTTCAGCTCACATTAATATAATGTTTTACTTCAAAGATGTCACAAATTCAACCTAGAGTCTGAGGATAGTGACTGAACAGAATGAAAATTATAGTGACCTTCTAAAGTTGAAAAGTATTTAAGACTTTTAAAGATGTTTTCACACCCATTAACTTATATAATCTTAACAAAACGAAGTAGGCAGAACAGATGATTACTACCAGTTTACAAATCAGAAAACTAAGAATCAAAGTCACAAAGTTACTAAGTGGCTGGGTTCAATTTCAAAGTACACAGGAGCTCTGACTCCTAGTTTAGGGTTTGACTACACCATTTCCCTTGACTATAGATCATGAAAGTAGTTTGTTATTGGAAGAAAATACACACTGATAATTAGAGCTGAACACATGAAGTTGCAGTGAGTATGCTAAAAAACTTGAACAAAAATAACATGTAGGATTCACAAAGACTTAAACTAACGTCTATCTAGGAATCCTAAAAGCTGAGTGAAAAATAGTAGTTTAACTCTTGTTATCTGATATTTTAATATTTGTTTTTATTTATTTAAAAATTATAGAAAATTGAGTTTTAATTTCAGTTCACTATATCTCATAAAGAATTTCTTTTGGGAAAAAATCTGATCAAGTTCTGATCTATAGATAAGATCTATAGCTCTTTTGTTCCACATTTAGTGGAACTAGACTAAGTTAATTACAGCTTGGTTCAGTTCTCTTTTTCCTTGTATTGTATATAATTAAGCCCCCTTCCCTTTTACTTAACTTGGACGATGATAAAGAAGGTTTGACATACAGCTGAGATGAACTGAATGGGCTTATTAGGCAGATAAAAGCACTGGCATCACTAGTTTATGAGACAGAGACACATGGGATTTTTTTCCCTAGAGTAAATCTAGCTTAGTAATTCCCCTTATTTAATAGAAACACAAGAAAAATAACTTACCCAACTCCAGGATGTCTGTAGCTTCTATTAAAGAAAAAAAAACAGCATAAGTCACCATAACAAACATATAAAAATGACAGGAAGGTGAAGTTCTGGGGAGAAGTGAGGGCTTGAGAGTTCACCTAGTCCTATGTTCTTTTCAAAGCTATTGAGTTTATTAGTAGTAGTTGTGGAAGTGCATCAATAATTCTGCCTCACCCCAAGTCTAAAATCTGAAAAATGTGGAAATCCAAAGAGGTTAAACAACTGTGCCTAAAGTTATCAAGCTAATTTGGAACTGCCTACACTCAAAATTTAAATTTCCTGATATTCAGCTCAAAACAAAACATACTTCTTTTGACAGATCCCTCTATATAAATCTTTTTTTCTTTAACAAGTGAGTTTTTTTGTATACTCAGACCTCTAAGAGCAAAATTTTATGGTGAGAGACATCAACTAAGATTTTTCCATGCTAAACAAGTTTTTTTCTTACCTTGATATTGGGATGCAGATTCTGATAGATGACTATATCTGTGTTTTCTAACATCATTCCAGTCTATTACTGCAGAAAGAGAGAAAACAGTCATGTGGAAAGAAAACATGGGATTTAGCAATATGCATCAACAGATTTGATAAAGTAGTTTACTTCTGAAATTCAATTCTAAGAAATAATACAAAATATAAGGAAAAAGTTTTTAAATGTTTTAGTATTTTGTATAATAACTAAAAGGGGCGGATACCTAAATGTTTGAAACAGAATCTAAGACTAAAAGATTGTAATATATGTTGATGGCACACGGGTGACTTGGTGATGGGAAACCCGCAGGGATTACAATTGAGATGGAAAAAATAAATGTACAAAATGATGTAAAAATAAACTGTTATAAAAAAAAGATTGTAATATATTCAATTGGCCAAGTATTTTACAATTATTACAGTTTTATATATGTTAAATAACAAAATGGAAAATGCTGAAGTCAAAATGTTATTTAGCAAAATGTGGTATATTAAAATGATATTCAAGGAATAATCAAATGATGTAAAAACTATAAACAAAGAACATTGCTGTCAAGGGCAGAAATGTGCTCTCCTCACCACCTCTCAATTTATGTTGAAATTCTCCCACTCCACTGTTTCAGACTGTGACGTTTTGGAAAGAGGGTTAATAAAAATTAATTTAATAAAATAAGGTCATTAGTGTGGGTCCAAGTCCAATATAACTGGTGTCCTTACAAGACACCAGGCCCAGGGAAAACATGAAATGAAGATACTAGAAGAGCGACATCTAAGAGCCTGAGGAAAAAACCCAACCCTGCCAACACCTTGATCTTGTATAGCCTCCAGAACTGTGAGGGGGGGAAATTACTCAGTGTGTAGTTTCTGTTATGACAACCCTAGCCAAATAATACAACATTCAAAAGTTATTACTAGAAAAAAGATATAAACATAGCAAATATAATTAGCTAGTTATCTCTGGAAAGAGTACTATTATATATATAATCTCATTGTTTCAAATTTTCTGCAAATAAGATGATTTAATACAATGGAAGTGCATTTTCCTTGTTTTAAAATTTAGATCTGTCTGACCTTACCACCTGCCATATTAATTATCCATCATGTTTTTACTTTTATTCTTACCCAGTTCAGATTCCACGGTCCTTTGTCAATACCATTTTCTGGCAAACTTTTTTTTTTTAAATTGCAGTATAATTGATACATAAGATTATATTAGTTTCAGGTATACATCATAATGATTTGGTATTTGTATATACCACAAAGTGATCACTATAATCAAACATACATAGTTATCATACATAGTTATAAAATATTTTGGGGGGAGGGCTTTAAGTGCTGAAGAAAAAGAAATGCAGGTTTATAGGTCTCTCTTTAAATTCATGGCCATAATTATCAAATGCCATGAATAAAGCTAGAAATCACACATTTCCCTATTATGCTTGCTTTTCTACTAAAAAAAAGTCATATCTTTTCTTCTTTACTCCAAACATTCCTTCCCTTCCCTTCTTTCTCTCTCTCTCTCTTTCCCCCCTTACCTTCTTTCTTAAGGGATGACCTTAATTCAGGCTTCATTGAGAAAACAGAAATTAAGGGTAGTGGACTTTCATGTGTGACTTATTTTTAGAAAGTACAGACTTGATCTTGTTTAGCAGTATGTCCCCAATGGATAGATAGTATAGCAGTAGTACTCACTTAATGTTTGATGAATGAATAAATCTATTCACTCATTTTTCTTTCTAATTTCCTCCCTGTTGCTGTGGATACAATGTCTCTGTTTTTATCAAAAGTCAACCCTCCAATTTTGCTCCAGATTCCATTTCCTTTCATCCTCTTAAAGACATTATACAGTTAACCCTTGAAAAATGCAGGGGTGAGGTAGGAGTGCTGACCCACACACAGTCAAAAATCCATCTAACTTTTGACACTCCCCCAAACTTAACTATTAATAGCCTGATGTTGCCTAAAAAAAAAAAAAAGAAAAAAAAAAAAGGCTTACCAGTAACAGTTGATTAATACATATTTTATGCTAATGTACTATATACTGTATTCTTAGAATAAAGTTAAGGTTGAGAAAAGAAAATAAATTAAGGAAAATACATTTACAGCACTGGACTCTATCAATACTGAAAGTTTATATCACCTATTATAATAGAAACTTTTGTAAACAGTTCATATTATCTGTTCACAAGAAAATCTGTGTATAAGTGGACCTGTGCAATTCAGCCTCATCTTGTTCAAGGGACAATTATGTTCTCTTTCTAATAAAGCATTTGCACCAGCATTGCTTCATTGTCTCCTATTAAAACAAATATACATATAAAAAATCTAAATACCCTCACCCCAATATTCTTAATTACTCTCCCGCTATATTCTTCTTCCTCTGACCTCAATAGGAGTAAATACGCTTTAAGAGTTGTCACTGTCTTATCATTTATTCATGCTATTTCCTAATTAAAATAGGGTTTTTTCTGCACAAAACTCAAGTTGAGATTACTCGCAAATTCATATTTCCAGCATTGGTCTCTTCTTGGAATTCCACACTCACATAATACAACTACTTATAAATGATCAATTGGATAATTCAAATGTAACACAAGACTAAAACAGAATGCCATCTTTGTCAACCTTTTCATCTCTTCAAACACAAGCAAGCAGTAACTCCATTACTTAAATGCTGAAGTAAAAAATCATTGAAATTATCCTTGCTGCAACTATTTCCTTTATAGTCACAGTCAATCCATCAATAAGTACTGTTGGGCAAATGCACCCCATTACTTATACACTCTAATTCAAGCCACCATTATCTTACGTGGACCATTACAATAGCCTGGCAACTTTTCCTGCTTTTAAATTACTAGAACACTCCAACTTATTCTCCACATACCAGTGAGAATGAGCATTTCAAAACCTGAAAGAGACCATGTGAACTGTCTGCTTAAGGACCTCTAAAAGCTTCCACTGAATTAAGGGTGTCTTTCAAAGATATGAAGAATCTAGCCCCTGCCACTTTTCTGATTTGACTGTTACAGACATTTTAAAAACTATATTCCAATTATATTAGTCAGTGCCCACATGAAGAGGCATTTTTCTTCTGGTTGATGCCACCTACCTTCTCAATAACTTGTTTTCTTCTAAATCATTAATAAAGATTACAAACTTGACCAGGTTTAAAAATTGCTGACAGCGACAAAGACTTTAGGGTGTCACAATTAAGTTTGCTTAAAAATGTTTACATTTTTATAATTAGAAAGAACATAGTCTTTAAAAATATACAATATACATTTAAATTACAAAAATTTTTTGTATTACATCACTTAAATAAAGATGAGCTACTGAGTCATGGAAACAACACTAAATAGAAACCTACAGGATCACTAATATTAAAACAACTATCTAAGAAACCAATGTTATTTAGAAACAAAACACCCCAATAAAAAAAAGTGGGGGGTGGGGAAAGAAAGCCAAACTTAATTGCAAAAGAAAATGAACAAAATTAACTTCCCAAGCTTACGTGGGAAGAAAGGCATCAAATAAAGATAACGAGAAAGGAATTTCTGAGAAGAAATGTTTGAAACAACTGGCACAAATAGGTATATTCTGGAAAGCAGCACCAAAAGAAGGAAAAATTTTATTTAAAAAATGCTAATTTCTAAGCATCACCATAAGTTACCCATAGGGATTAGGTAACTGACCCTTTATAAATTCCTAAATGAGTAGAATATAGTACCTGATGTTAGCCATTAACAAAGAAGCTAGTCACCTATAATTTTTCAAAATATTCTAAGAAAAATAGCAATGTTTCAGAATATATTATGATATGAAGCTATTATTTTTAAACAACCAATTCAATTTTATTCCCTGTCTCCTAGCAGTATACCAGTTAACAGTAACAAATCAGAAACCTGGTATCTTCTTTAATGCTTGCACTCATTTGCCCTCTAAAACCAGTACTGTTAGTTTCACATCTAAAACAACATCTCCTTTGTTGTATCAACCCTGAGCTTATCTGAGTTTAAAATACCATTATTTCTTACCTTGATAATAAAGTTACTTAATTTCTGTCTTATCTCATTACTTCCCAATCCACTTTAACATTAATTTTTTAAAAATATAGATTAAGGGCCCTCCCTGGTGGTGCAATGGGTTAAAATGCAGCACTATGAAGCTATCACCGCCACTACACCACAAGTTCCTTCCCTGGCCAGGGAGGTGACCCATATGGTGTGGCAGACACCTCTCCTGACTTGCCTGCTGCTCCCCTCAGCAGTGTACTTCGTCAATCTGCCTGTTCTGCTCCCCACTCAGTATCTGGTGAAGCCTCTCACCCCCCGCAACTCTAGCCTGTACCCCAGTTCTGTATGCATAAATAAATCCAAAAACTTGCTACTGCCCCTTAAAAAATTATTAAGCCCTAAATCATTATCTATAAATATATTAAACATCCCATGTCTTTCATTATCTCTATATTCTTCCCTTCTACCTCTCTATTTGGAAGGTTCTTATTTACTTATCATGGTCCAGGATGAATGTTACTTTGTAATAGCTTTCCACTTAATATCCTTAAACAGAGTACTATCTCTGCCTTCTACTTCTATGCCTGTCAGTGTGTCAGAGTGAAATAAGAGATAACTATTAAGCCAGTTAGTATTCCTGGTACACCGTGAGCACTCAATCAAAAAAATTTGTCTATTTTCCAAAATCAGAAAGTTATGTAATAGAGAAAAATTTACAGAATCATTATTTAAATGCATGCCGCCTTCATCAAAACAATACTGAGAGATTCATACTTAGACACTATCGTTAGCTATTATTCATGTTAGTGAAGAATAACTAAAAACATATCTAAAAATAGGCAATACTGGCCTATAGGACTCTGGTTCTAGAGGTCAATTACATTCTTATTTCATGTGACTTGATCGCACAACCTACCTCCTAATAAAAGAAACATGACTATTTCAGACATAGAGATAAAAGAGAAGGTTTTAGCAACTAGCAGCAACAAATGTTGGTGAGGATGTGGAGAAAAAGGAACTCTCCTACACTGCTGGTGGGAGTGCAAGCTGATATAACCACTATGGAATGCTGTTTGGAAGTTTCTCAAAAGGCTAAAAATAGAGCTTCCTTATGACCAGCAATCCCACTCCTAGGTATCTACCCAAAGGACACAAAAACAATGATTCAAAAAGACACCTGCACCCCCATGTTTATTGCTGCTCTATTTACAATAGGGACGCCATGAGATCAACCCAAATGCCCAAAAATAGATGACTGGATTAAAAAGATGTGGTACATATACACAATGGAATATTGCTCAGCAATCAAAAAAGATAAACTCATGCCTTTTGCAGCAACATGAATGGAGCTGTAAAGGGCTTAGTGAAATAATCCAGAAAGAAAAAGAAAAATACCGGATGGTTTCACGCATAGCAGGAACATAAGAGATCAGTGCAAAAAAAAAAAAAA